TTTACCGAGTTCGGAACTAAACCATGGAGTTGAGTAAAAGGAACACTTACGGAAAAAAGAAAGAAATAAAAAGAATAAAGTAGATACCTGAATGAAAACTTTGAGGTGAACCAACACAGGAGGTAAGCAAACATCGAGATATCTAACGAATGTTGCTAAAATATCAGTTGTACTTTAAATCTTTTGCCAAAAATAGATCTTTTACGTCTTAAAACGCATTCTTGTTGTTTCTCTTATCTTGTAAACCCTAAAATAAAACTGAAATACCTAGACGAATTCGCTTTATCAAATTAAATCAATTTAAACTCTTTAATATATCATGACACCGTCCACACACTTAATGTTGTGTGATCTTTTACAAATGTTGTGTTCCTTCATACGTCTGTATACGGGGTGATCGAAAAGTCCCCTCCCCCCTCTAACTTTTGACCTAATTGAGGTATCCCTCACTTTAATGAGGGATAATTTTTTAGAAAAATCGAAGTGAGCATAGCATCCAAAATCGTGGGATGCAGGTATTCTCTGACAACACATGATCGTATGGTCCGAAAATTTATTAAAGACAAGTTCTGTGAGATAAAAACGGACAAATGTGTTTTCGTAAAATAATTGTGCATCGGCTAGGTTAGGTTAGGTTAGGTTAGGTTAGGTTATGTAAGGTTAGTTCAAGTTAAATTAGATAAGAGAAGTACACGATTTTCTATCATGATGAACTTGAAAACTAAAAATGGTCTACTTGCTATTGGACTCCATGCTCAAGCAAAGAAGTGAGAAGTTTAGCGATGAGCATAGAGTCCAAGATCTTGGACGAGATTAGCAGGCAAGTATATTAAGGGTGAGCATGAAGTCCAATATCATGGACGCGATGCTACATAATCCTCCGAAAAGTGTAGTTTTAGTTGTAAGACATGAATCTTTCGGCACGGTCGAACAGAGTTTGGCAACGAGACTCTCAGGAATAACCTCGAGGGAAAATGGAAACAGGACAGAACCACAAAGTTGTATGATATCAGACGAGGTCTCATTGCGTAAAGAAACTAAAGCACTTCATTGAAACAAAACCGGCCAAAAGCATAGAAAAAACTGAACGTAAAACCCAAGAAAGTTTACCCCGCTTTCAAGACTCATAAACTGCAACTAGCCGTGATTAGCTCGCTTCGCTAGGTGACACGCCTAGTCGAGGAGTGCCTTTGGACCCCCAGTTCTTCTCTTCACTTCGCGATGAACTTGCGACTCGCTCCGCGAGCCGCCACCGCCCCGCCCCGCCCCCCCATAGTTTTTAACATTGATGAGAAGACAACATTTTCGTCTTCATCTTCTTTTTCACCAAGTTTTATAGAAATTGAAGTTCCAGGAGCCTCCGGGACCGCCTTATGTAGCGCGGCCGTCATCTTGGCTTTTGAAATGTTAAAAATCTGACCAAAAATTGACCCGATGAAAAATACCCCCTGATACCGAATTTCACGAAAATCGATCGAAGTAAAACCAATACATCATATTAGGCTACAGCTGCCATCGTGAGTTTTACAATTTTTAAAATCGGACCAGAAATTCGAGTTTCAGGTCAGAATATACCCTCTAATACCAAAATCCAGTAAAAGCGATGGATCAAGAGCCGAGATAGAATTTTAGACCACGTTCGCTATCTGGAATTTTTGAATTTTGAAAATCTGACGAAACATCCGATTTTCCCGTCGAAATATACCTTATAATACCGAATTTCACTAAAATCGATCGGAAAGGAGCCGACTTACGTTTTAGGCCACAACCGCCTTCTTGAATTTTGAAATTTTGAAAATCGGACCAAACATACGAGTCCCCGTCGAAATACACCACCTGATACCGAATTTCACGAAAATCGATCGAAAAGGAGCCGACTTGGCATTTTAGGCCAAGGCCACCATCTTGGATTTAGAAATTTTGAAAATCGGACCAAACATTCGAGTTTCCCGTTGAAAAATACCCCAAAATACCGAGTTCCCCGAATATCGATAGAACTGGAGCAGACTTAGCATTTTAAGTCAAGGCCGCCATCTTGGATTTAGACATTTTGAAAATCTGACCAAACATACGAGTTTCCCGTCAAAAAGTACCCCCGGTTATCGAGATTTCCGAAAATCGATCGAACTGGAGCAGACTTAGCATTTTAAGCCACGGCCGCCATCTTGGATTTAGAAAATTTGAAAATCGGACCGAACTTTCGAGTTTCCTAGAGTACCTGTATAGCGAGAGTATGGACAGATCGCTTCATGGAGGGCTTAGGGCCCAAAAGTGCAGCCACCCTTCTAACCAACGTCTAACGCACAAAACTTCACTGCCAGTCTGCAGATTCCAATTCTAACCAAGATGGCCAAGAATGTACAGAAATGAGCGTTCTTCCGCGAAATTGAGTAAATTTATGCAAAAACTGAGTCAAACACGTGCTTAATAAATGACGGTTCGTAACAATAGTATTAATAAATCGTTCTAGATAATTGAAATTCATAGGTTGGCTGCATTTCTGGGCCCTAACTTTATTCGCAGAAGCATCTGTGAAGGCCTGATGGATTTTCGGAGTTTCACATCTGTCCATACTCTCGCTATACAGGTACTCTAGAGTTTCCCGTTGAAAAATACCCTTTAGAACTAAGTTTCACAAAAATCGATCCAACAGGAGCAGACTTAGCATTTTCAGCCACGGCAGTCATCTTTGATTTTGAAATTTTAAAAATCGGACCAAATAGTCGAGATTCCTGTAGAAAATACACCATAGAACCGAGTTTCACGAAAATCAATCGAACAGGAGCCAACTTAACATTTTAGGCCACGACCGCCATCTTGGATTTTGAAATTTTGAAAATCCGACCTAAAATTCGAGTTCCTCATTGAAAAATACATACGGATACCAATTCCTACAAAAATCCGTCGAAAAATACCTCCTAAAACCTTAAATTCCGTACATAAGGCTGTGACGTCACGCGACAGGATTGAACCTGTTCGGCGCTGTGCGCGTAAACAACCGCGTATCTCCAATGCAATACTATGAGGAGAAACAACGTTTCGCCCTTGCGGGCGTCCTAGGCAGCGGATTGGAATAGAAATAATTTTGATCAACTCCTCACGACAATTGCTAAGCGTGTACCAAGTTCAAAGGAAATCGCCTCGGCCAATTTTTCTGTGAGCCGGTGAGGCAGCTTTATACAGGGTGATCCAAAAGTCCCTTCCGCCCCCTCTAACTTTTTACCTAATTGAGATAAAGATTTGAAACTTGGGGGATATTCCTAGGTCAAAGGAAGCTACTTTTTGGCCCCCCTAAAATTTTCCGGGGGGCCCTCCTTGGGGGGGGCAACGGCCCCCAACTTTTAATTTTCAAATGGGAAGACCCTCTTTGTGATAGCTCGTTCGAAAGAGCATAAAAAAAGAAAACTTTTCGCGCAAACTCGAAGTCAATATCTATACCGTTTCAAAATGGCGGCCGGTTAAAGTTCAAAATGGCCGAAAATTCACACCAGTTATTTGTCGATGGATTTGCGCGAAAATCGGTATGTAGGGGTATTTTGACACAAGAAAAACGAATTTGACGTTAGATTTTCAAAAAAACCAAAATTTCCAAAATGGCCGCCGGTTAAAGTTCAAAACGACCAAAAATTGATTTTTTTAGAAATCTAAGTTCAAATTTGTTTATCTTCTGCCAAAATACTCTCAAATTCCAAGTTTTAGGCAAATCCATCAGGAAAAAACCGAGGTGAAAATTTTCGGCCATTTTAAACCTCAACCGGCGGCCATTTTGGAAATTTTGGTTTTTTTGAAAATCTAACGTCAAATTCGTTTTTCTCGTGTCAAAATACCCCTACATACCGATTTTCGCGCAAATCCATCGACAAATAACCGGTGTGAATTTTCGGCCATTTTGAACTTTAACCGGCCGCCATTTTGAAACGGTTTGAGATATTGACTTCGGGTTTGCGCGAAAAGTTTTCTTTTTTTATGCTCTTTCGAACGAGCTATCTTAAAGGGGGTCTTCCTATTTGAAAATTAAAAGTTGGGGGCCGTTGCCCCCCCAAGGAGGGCCCCCCGGAAAATTTTAGGGGGGCCAAAAAGTAGCTTCCTTTGACCTAGGAATATCCCCCAAGTTTCAAATCTTTATCTCAATTAGGTAAAAAGTTAGAAGGGGTGGAAGGGACTTTTGGATCACCCTGTATAGAGTAACTAGTCGTGATTAGCTCGCTTTGCGAGCTGACCCGTCTAGCCGGGGAGTGCCCCTCGACCCCAGTTCTTCGCTTCGCGATGAACTTGCGACTCGCTCCGCGAGGCGCCACCGCCCCGAATAGTTTTTAACATTGATGAGAAGACAACATCTTTGTCTTAATCTTCTTTTTCACCAAGTTTTACAGAAATTGATGTTCCAGGAGCCGGGACCGCAAGTATGTGATGACCGTCCAGGCGAGATCTTTGCATCATATTTTGAAGTTCTCTTTTATATCTGCCCCCGTAAAAATTCGCAATGGGAGCTGCATTTCAAAATACCATAGGAATTCTTATAGCCAGTTATTAAAGGTATAGAAAATCACACAGCCGGGATATGCGAGGCGATAAAAACTTATACAGCCGGGCTACCTATAGCTCCTATCACCGGGCTATGCAGTTCATCACCTGGCTGTAACTTTATCGCCATCGGCTATAAAAGGCTCTAAGAAATCGTATAGCCGGCTATAGAAGCTATAGGAAATCTTACAACCGACTGCAAGTCTATAGTATTTTGGAACACAGATCCCACTGCCAATTTTTACCAGGGTTTTCAAATTAACCATAACCTCAAATCGAGCCTTATAACACACAGCTATAACTAACATTTGGATGATTTGAAAGGAATCGCACTTAGTTGGCAGGCAATTTAAGCCACATCAGAGCCGGAGTGGTCGCGTCGTAATGAATATCAGTTTTCTATGTATCACCATTGATTGTTTTATGTTACGCTTTATACAGGTACTTGAATGACATTTTTTGTTTCCATGTTTCAGAAGGAGTGAATTTTTAGGATGTGTGTCATTTGCCCTAAAGAATGCTGCAGAAAAGGTAAAATTTTAATAAGAAGTTCTGTTTTGTTAATGAGGTTGTTATTTGTCCTCGCATGCCTATATTGTTCTTTCTTTTGGATAGTGATGCTATCCAAAATTTCCATATTTTCACATCCTCAACGTATCAAAATCGTGTTGTTAAATAGAATACACACAACTTCACTAACTTTCCCTGGCGAGAAAAAAATACAAGCAATTGAATTTTCTCAATTTGGATAATTTCTAATCATTATACCCACTTGAACACTATATACCATAGAGAACGTTTAGTCCAGGCAAATAAGGAAAAGAGCCTGCACAAATCCCGAGTAGTAATGTTTTCATTGACTCCTACGTAATTTTTCCCGCTGAATTCGAATTTTAACTTAGCACGAAAAAAATTCGAAACGGAAAGTTGCCAATTTTGGCAAAAATGACCTAAAATCGGCCTTTTTCCGGATTATGGCCAGTAACCAGCCAAAAATTGATCTGACGATAAAATTAGTTATTTTCAAAAATAAAGCTCGTTAAATTTCCTATAAATAATTTACAATACACTTTTTTGCTCAGGACAAAATCAAGAGCGCTGGCAGGCACCAAGCTTTGAAAAATGAGCGAAAATTGCGTTTTTCGCGGTTTTTGCCCGATGTTTCCTTTTTTAAACGTCTGAAGAGTAATTTCTGGACAAACTAAGTGAAGATGATAAAATTTACACCAAGTGAAATGAATTGATGTAAATAATAAGGAACCCAACACATTACGGTGTGCGCAATTTTCGTTCATTTTTCAAAGTTCGGAGCCCGCCAGCGCGCTTGATTTTGCCTTGAGCAAAAAAGTGTATAGGAACTTTTTTGTAAGAAATTGAAACGAAAATTGAGCCCTAAACCTAAAAATTATTCATATTGTCCTAGTACTGGGAAAATAGCGCGGATCGCACCCCGGAGAACTGTGGTGGGGTCCCTCGCCGGACAGCGGCTCAGTAAAGAGGAAATTTTGTGACATCATAGGTTAGGTTTTGCTCTTGTTTCCCGTGTGAACCACGGCCAGCCCTAGATTGATCAGCACTTTTCGTGAGATACTACTGGCGCAAAGGGGCGGGACGCGCGGGACGTGGGAAGCGGCGGTGCACGGTGACGCGCGTTTTCCAGAAAATTTCTCAAGTCAGTCGCTCATGTTCGTCGGGAAGGGAAATGTCGCGATTCCGTGCAATGTCCAGGTGCACGTAAAATTCCATACCTGCGTCCTCAAAGTGTTTTCCGGCGGTGTCGAATCAACCTCCGCAGACCCCCGACATGGAGGATCAGCAACATAGAGTCGTCCGACCGTTGCCCCCGCCAAGTCTCTGAGTGCGGTTCAACCCTTCCGTCGACGTTTTGAGTGAAAATCCGTCAGCAGCCTCCGCGAGACCCCCGGCATAGAGGATCAGCAACATAGAGTCGACCGACCGTTGCCCCCGCCAAGTCCTGGTGTGCTAGCTGTAGTTGTTGTCTCTTTTTGAGTTTCGGTTGTTTTGGAGAGTTTTTGGAAGTTTGGAAGATTTTGAAGAAGATTTAGTTGTGTTTTTCGGTTTCGTTGTTCTGGAATTTGATCAGTGTACCTTGTCTATGATTATTAAATTGTGCTGTTAAAATACGGTGTTATTCATTGAGGACTTGAGGCCTCATTATTCCTACATCAAGTGGTGGAAATATCGTCCCCCCCCCATGTTTCTCCTATCAGCTGAGAAACTTAAATTTTCGGCTAAACTTTAGGGTATCCCCTCTGGTCCCAAGAGTTGAAGCCGCTTCAAAATTTAATGAGCTTTATTTTCGAAAATAACTAATTTTATTGTCAGATCAATTTTTGGCAAGCTACAGGTCATAATCCCGGAAAAAGGCCGACTTTAGGCCATTTTTCCAAATTTGGCAACTTTCCGGTCCGAATTTTTTGGTGCGAAGTAGAAATTCGGATTCAGCGCCAAAAGTTACATAGGAATCAATGCAAATATTGCTACCCGGGATTTTTGCAGTCTATGGCCCCTTTTTTGGCTTATTTGCCTGGACTAGTTTTTATGTGCCCTCATGTGGGAACTAATAATGCTCCTTAGTATGCGGACTGTTTTGGGGGAGGGGGGGAGTTGGCCGGATAGGTCACTGGAATCGTAGAATCACTTCCACATTGGACGTGACTCGTCACAGTGCCGCTTACCTCACACGGTGCGCTTGAACTCACGTTAAATGCGACTTGAATGTACATCAAAAATTCAAGTTGGAGGTTGTAGTGGGGTACTTCCTGATTAGTTTTTGGGCAATTTCGAAATAGGTTGTCGGAGCTCCTCGAAAAATAATCGCATTTTTGTGGTTTTTTAGGGGTAAAATAGGAAAATTGGCCTTAGGGCGACAAATTAAACCCCCTCTCCCTCATCCTTCCACTGACCGATCTGAATTTTTAGTATGTAGTCACCTAGTATAAGATGTGACTTTTCTGAAATTTTCATGCCCATTCACAATTTTTTGCCCCCGCGGCAGCGTTACCAAGTTGCGGACTCCAAAATATCGAATTTGATGATAAAATGAAGGTTTCGAAGTGTGATTTCCATTCAAATTCAAAAATTCAAATCGTAGGATGTAGTAGGGTAGGATGTAGTAGGGGGTAGCCTGATAGGTTTTTGGCCAATTTCGAAATGAGGTGTTTGAGATTTTTGAAAAATTATTGAATGGACCACTAGATAAGGTACGAATTTCAGCATTCTGATACATGTTTCTTAACCAAAATTTTACGTAAAACACGATGCACACAACGAAAATTACCGAAATTAACTCCTTACGAAGATATTTAATGATTCTTAATGCGTGAATTCAAACCACCCGCTCATGAAAACACAATGCTCTACGTGATTCACATCGCGCGCTAAACGTTATCATGACAGTCTCTGCGATATAAAAATCTGGCAACCTTAATCTTGACGCTTTGGCTCAGTTATAGCAAATTGCTAATAGTTTGAACAACACATGATAGGAAATGAACATTGCTCGATTGAGAAGCTTGCTGAAACCGTTGTAGTGGGCGATTTGACTCACGTAGAGTTTTGAGTTTCTTGTGAGCGGGCAGTTCAAATTCCTCGTAACCAATGTAAAATAAAAACGTTAATATCTTCGTTAGGAGTTGGTTTCCGTAATTTTCGTTGTGTGAATCGTTTTCCACGTGAAATTCTGGTTAAGAAACATGTATCAGATCGCTTAAATTCGTACCTTGTCTAGTGGTCCATTTTCGTGGTTTTTTAAGGGTAAAATAGCACACTGGGCACGGGGCGGCAAATTAAACCTCTTCTCTCTCATCCTTGCCGTGACCGATTTGAACTTTTAGTATGTATTAACCTGGTATAAGATGTGACTTTTCTGACATTTTCATGCCCATATAAAATCTTTTGCCCCCGCGGCAGCGTTGCCAAGTTGCGGACTCAAAAATATCGAATTTGATGATAAAATGAAGGTTTCGAGGTGTGATTTCCTCCAAAATTTCACAAAAAATGTGCAATTTGAGAGTTTTTGATAAGATTAAGCATATTTGAACAATTTAAAGTTGCAGCGTTGCCAGCTTCATGATTTAAAATTCGTCAAAATGATCCAAATCGCGTTACAACCTCAAGGTCTGGATTTTTATTTCGTTTAGAATTGGTCATTACGGTTCTTCTGTACTCTATGCATCTGAAAATTATGCCATTACTTACTTGATGGGTGCAGCTAACTCAACAAGAGAGACCGGATAAAGCGACGAGTCGCTGGAAAACGAGTGGTTCGGGTTGACAGATAGTTCTCTTTATATGACACAATATTTACAAAACATCTTTAATTTCGTTGTATAGTCTACTTTTGTTATGAGGGAATTTATTTCAATATAACTCAAAATTATTCTCATTTTTTGCAAATTTTTGATTCTTTAAGTTATTGAAGGTAATTTTCTGGATTCGAACTATCCAATCCGCTGTGAAAAGAGGTCGATTTCGGGGACTTTCAAACTTTTTTGAATCGTCGTTTTCCACTCATTTCATTTATGTTTTAATTTTTCATGTTTTTGGGAAAAGTTTGGGGGGCAAGATTTTAAACAGAATGTTCAAAGTATTGACAGCAGCAGGGATAAGGTTTGGGGGGTGGGAGAAAGTTCTCAAATTCTACTTTCTGTTGATGGAGTAAATTTAAGAAATTTCTGTCAACCCAAACCGATCGCTTTTCCCCAAATCTTCGCTTTATCCGAACTTTAAATTGTTCAAATATGCTTAATCTTATCAAAAACTCTCAAATTGCACATTTTTCGTGAAATTTTGGAGGTAATCACACCTCGAAACCTTCATTTTATCATCAAATTCGATATTTTTGAGTCCGCAACTTGGCAACGCTGCCGCGGGGGCAAAAGATTTTATATGGGCATGAAAATGTCAGAAAAGTCACATCTTATACCAGGTTAATACATACTAAAAGTTCAAATCGGTCACGGCAAGGATGAGAGAGAAGAGGTTTAATTTGCCGCCTCGTGCCCAGTGTGCTATTTTACCCTTAAAAAACCACGAAAATTCAATAATTTTTCAAAAATCTCAAACACCTCATTTCGAAATTGGCCAAAAACCTATCAGGCTACCCCCTACTACATCCTACCCTACTACATCCTACGATTTGAATTTTTGAATTTGAATGGAAATCACACTTCGAAACCTTCATTTTATCATCAAATTCGATATTTTGGAGTCCGCAACTTAGTAACGCTGCCGCGGGGGCAAAAAATTGTGAATGGGCATGAAAATTTCAGAAAAGTCACATCTTATACTAGGTGACTACATACTAAAAATTCAGATCGGTCAGTGCAAGGATGAGGGAGAGGGGGTTTAATTTGTCGCCCTAGGGCCAATTTTCCTATTTTACCCCTAAAAAACCACAAAAATGCGATTATTTTTCGAGGAGCTCCGACAACCTATTTCGAAATTGCCCAAAAACTAATCAGAAAGTACCCCACTACAACCTCCAACTTGAATTTTTGATGTACATTCAAGTCGCATTTAACGTGAGTTCAGGCGCACCGTGCTCAGTGATTGCCAATGTTTCTTAAATCAGTGCTGACCTCTTACCCAAGTGTGACACTTACGTCAGAGCAAATTTCACTCGCACCTAAGAGCAACATTTCACTGACCCGACATTTGCCAATTTTACCAGGGCAAGTTGTGCCGAGCGGGAAGTTCGTAAATTCCTTTCCAGAACTCTTCCACCTCTTCTTTCTGAAGGGTTGCACCGACGTCAGAGAGGTCACCTTTGATGTTTCTGTAGAAGCTTTTGAAATTGGTTTCGAAGCTTGTGAAGAACTAATTTGATCTTTACCAGTATCTTTTTATCCTTTGACCAAAGACAGCAATGAGTTGCATTAGTTGATCCATTACATTTGTGTATACTGCTTTCTTCTTCAGGGGAGTATTTGTTCAAGACTGATTGGACTTTATGAATTACCTGTTGTTCTTTTCCCTTGCTCATTATTTTAAAATTGACTAGTACTGGAAGGTTCCTCCTTAGATGTAGATCTGATTCGTTCGTTTTATTTTAACTGAGTTTAACGAGCGGGGGGGGGGGGGCTAAAAACAATCATAAAATTTGAAAATTAAAGACCTAGGTCGTATATTTGCTCAAAATGGAACCACTCATGGGTCGAATGGCATGGTCACAATATCGCTCTGTTGCAAGGAATAATCAAAGAAGAAAAATTCAATGACGTTCACAGTAAGTGTCAAGCGACTGCTCCTTAATGGGATACAATGCCTCTCAAAGAAGCCATAGGTACTGCATTGGGAAACTCTATAATCCGCGCCCACTCTAGCCGGTAACTCGCCAAACACCTCGCCGGTATACTTTGAAGGATTTTTTTTTCAACCACTTCTCCGTTCGACTCTGCGATGAAATTTTACGCCATAATGACACTTTATTTTCGTGCTCCGTAACAATTTGGACGTTTCCTTACGAAAGTTTTATCTGTTCGCAGGAAATCAGCGGAAACTTCCGACTTCTAGGTCCAGGTGCAAATAAAATTCAGCATGTATTATCCACGCCAACCTCTCAAAACTCAGGTGAGCGGATTCAAAACATTAAAAATTCCAAGTCACACTGTACAAATTATTTAAGTTTTTTTTCATTAAATTATTTAAGTTTTTTTTCATTTTAGGGTATGGTATAAGGGAATGAGGTACGAATATATGGTATTACAAAGGCAACGGAGGTAGAATTTATTTTAAAGAAAAAATCAGACTCCTGATCCCCGCCTCACGACCCAAAAAATTTGATGCTCGGATACAATTTAATACTACAGAGGACTAAAGCCAAACATCATTTACTGCTTTCATGTAACGGTGTGCAATTAATGATTACAATATCCCTAAATGTCAGTTTGGGTGCAAGACTGTATCCGTAAGTCATTTTGCTCCGGACCCATCAGAGATTCGGAGTGATATAAACTTAAAACTCCGAGTCAAAGATGTCTCGAACACAATTTCTGATGATAGAAGGGCCACCTAAATATAGGCAAGCACGCCGAGTGTCCTGTCTTTTGGCCCCAGGGCAGTGGCTAGTGGGCTAAGTACTCTACTATCGTCTCAGATTCCCGAATTCGATCCCAACCCGGAAATGCTTAATAATTCTTACGTTTTACGCCTCGTCTTACCCTAGCTCTGAGTGATTCTCATTCAGGCTGTAAGTTGTTGGATGTCAAAACAAGCAGTGAACTCCAACACAATGTATTGATAGGGCGAGTCATTATCTCGCATTTATCAACCCCTTTAGTTTTCATTTAAAGAGATTTCAAAATAGGCAAGCAGCACAACAAGAGAATTCTCGATCCAACACTGCGAGGTCAACGATGCACCTTGACGAGACCGTGTATTGTGAATGTAGAAAGCTACTCGAACGAATTTAAGTTTTTTGATCTGCCTGACGCAAAATCTTATCAGATTCTTGAAGAAAAGTGCTACGATATAATTTAAGCGAAGAAAGGAACAATTCTGTTGAACTCCTAGAAGATAAAGTCGATTTAAAGGTATTTTGGGGCTAAAATACCCAAATCACCGTTAGTATAAATCCCTTTATATTATTGAAAAAAAATTGATTCGATATAAATGCAATTGCTTTAAATATGTCTTGATTTTGTTACTTTAAACGTCTTTCCATGGAAAGAAGTTCAACCATGTCTATGCCTCATTCATTCATGAATTGAAAGTAAGAAATCTACATCCCGAAAATCTACCGATTTGCCGTAAAATATCGCAGAAACTTGATATACCAGGTCGATGTACCCACTCGTTGAATTTACGAATCAATTTCGTGAGTGCACATACGTAAAAGTCAATATGCTATCGTCATTTTGGGTGCCTTTAATTTTCAAGAAACAATTACAAGTAATTTCAATCCCGAAGAACCATCAATTTTCCGTATGAAATCGAAAAAATCAAAATATGTTCACTCCCTGACGTGAAAATTAGAGTCTACGTGTGAAAATGCTTATACATCGATATGCTGAACAAAATCCATGCCTATGTCAAAATTTTTCTCAGAGGTTTTTGTTATTATCAGCTTCCCTTGAACCCCCGGTTCGATGGCCGAATCGGCTGCCCAAAAAGCAAGGCATCTTTGAAGGGTTGTATGAGAAATTCGTGGTATTATCGGCTCTCAGGAAATCACCTCATGGCTAGAACTGGTGGTATAAATGTTTGAGTGCTTAAAATTATCGTATTTAAGAAACTAAGGCATTAAACTATGCAGTCAATTTCTTTTTAATAATATAACGGGATGTACTACTGGTGATTTAGCTATTATAGCCCCAGAATACTTTTAAAGTGCCTTTACGTTCCCGAATCTCGACGGATTTTTTTGGCGCGTATACGTAGTATACCGCCTTTGCGATCGTTTCGAACCCTGCTCGATACAATATACGAGTCCCTTAGTTCCTTCCCGAAAAAGGACTGCCGCGAACTTCTGAGATTTTACAAAGCGTGTAAAAAGTTTATTTATCCGTCAATAATTATGATTTAAAGTTGTTTCTCATTCTGGGGCTTTCTAGTTTATGTGCAGTGAATACCAAGAGTCTACGTTACTTGGTTTTTTTTAAAAAAAGCCTAAGAATGCGCCGCGCTGATTTAAAATATGCATATATAAGCAAAAGCAAGCGAACTTATTCGAGGATGGCTGACCAATTCGGCACTCTGCAAATGAGAATTTCACTCCTCCGTTTTGTTCAAAACGTTGCTTTGACAGATCTCCACACCCCTGTTATGCTTTTCAAAATTTGGTAGCACTGCTCCATTTGCCAGGGCAGCATAAGTGCAATCTGTGATGAGCCTCGAGACTCATTAGACCATTTGCTAAACGTGGCTCATACAGGAATCCACCTACCCCTCTGTTTCTCACGCTCCTGATCACTGCGTCGGCGTCACAAGGAACAATGGGCCTTGGGCCGCCTTGGGTCCCGGCGCGGCCTGGACCCGTGCCCCAATTACTTACGCTGGATTAACCATTTCACCGTCACGCTAGGATTCATCCAATTTTTAAAAAAAATTGTTTCACGTGTGTTTAGCAATTTATTCCTTACTCTCCGCTAAAACACAAATAAAAAGAGACCTCATTCATAAAAATCGGCTGAATAGAAGAGAAGTTACAGTATTCGAAATCCGAAGAAATCAACAAAACTTCTCCATACAGAAAATAAAATAAAGGGGGAAAAAAGAAATGTATAAATTACAATTAAATATAATTGACCTCAGAATTTGCCAAGCAATTCAATTATATACCTAACGGAGAAAAAACTGGGAGAAATTACAAAAAATTCGCCTCTTGCAAGGGGCTTCTTTGTAAGAATTTTGACCTGAAGACAAGGGTCGAATAACAGCAGCACTCTATACAATACACGGTGTGCCTGAACGAGTTAAAAAAAATTTTATACGTCCAAATCGAAATATCTTTATATTTTTAACTACAGTGTCTCTTGAATCGTTTAAGCCAAAAAAAACAAAATTCCGTCGATATTCTGGAACGTAAAGGCGCTTTAAAAGTATTCTGGGGCTATAATAGCTAAATCACCGGTAGTAAATCCCATTATATTATTAAAAAGAAATTGACTGCATAGTTTAATGCCTTATAGTTTCTTGAATACGATTATTTTAAGCTGTTAAACATTTATACCACCAATTTTAGCCATGGGATGATTTCCTGAGAGCCGATAATATCACGAATTTCTCATAGAACCCTTCAACAGTGGCTTCCTTTTTTAGCAGCCGATTTGGCCATTGAACCGGGGTTTAAATGGAAGCTGATAATAACCCAAAGCTCTGAGAAAAATTTTGAGATGAGTATAAGAACGGTTTGTCAAGAGTGGCGGTAGCCACCCCCGGTCGAGGAAAATGACGTCCTACTAAAGTCCCGATAACAAACGGGTGGCCGACACTCTTAGTCACAGCCAACTCCCTTAATCTGAAAATTGATTCGATTTAGAATGGAATTCAGAGCAAACGGCGGCACGGATTCCAACGATCTTGGTGTCTATGGACGCAGCTAAGTTAGCCGGATGGCGTTTAAGGGTTTCATTAGGATCCATTGAGTTTTCAAAAAGTTATAAGCACTTAATGACCCAAAACAAGGAAAATTTTACTTTTTACTTTGCCGGGAAATTTGAATTTCAAGAGTCCAGGGTCCTGAGAAAGTTACTCAAACTCCGCGATAACGGTAAACCTTAGACCCATAAAAGTGGGTACCTAAAGAATGGCCATGCTACCGTGTCCACGGGTTTTTACATTTTTTTAAAATTCCTAGTGATCTTAAAGAGAAATTACGGAAAATACGACTAAACTGCCCGTCATGACCATCTTTGACAACAGATTTCTCGCTTACAAGGCCGCAGATTGTAATGGAGCCTACATAAAGGGCACTTCTTGAAGATATAAGGATTTCATTTTGCCACATGAAATAGGGCTTTATTGCACGGATAATCTAGCATCTGCTTTAATTGTTCAAAATTTTAGCTATTATATTCGTTTTTAGAAAAAAAACCAGTGGTGGTTCAATGCCATTGGTTCATTCTGTTCAGGTCCGTCCGAGTTTCGGGAACGAAACGTCGTCGATTATACCAACCTCCAGCTACTGTATTTATTTGTGAATAATGAACAGATTTAATTTAAAGTTTAATTCATTTTAGATCCTAACTAATATTACACACTCATATTATTACGCCCACTTTCATCCCGATACACTACTTCATTGGTTTCTTAAAAATTTTCAAGTGATTTCTGGTCGGTCGTTACCAACCTCTTACTAGTTGTTAATAGATTTACCTAATTTGGATAGGAGTTTAATTCTTTGTAGTTGCTAACTACTATATATACAAACTCATGTTATTACGTCTCGCGTGTTCTACTGGAGCCCGATTTACTATTACCTTAGTTTCTTGTAAAATGTTCAAGTGATATCTTTATTTTATCGAACGATATGTGACAAAATTTTAAGTGAGGTTATGTCGTCATGTTTATGTCAGTACCTGACCGAAGCGATAGATGTAATTCCGGTAAATTACGTCAAAGAAATTACACCGAAATTGTGCCAAACTTACCAAAGGAAGCAGCATTTACATCACAGAATGTATTCTGACTACTAAAGTCTAAAAATTACTGGAATATGAGCCTCGGTCTTCACATGCGACTGTCACTGAACTTCGACCAAAATTTATTCGCTCTATATCTTCTCGTCAACCTATGTGCTCTGGAGTGATTATGCTTCTCTGAAGTGTATATTATTTACATTAAGATCATGTTTCCTTCATGATTTATCTTGGAATCCTCCTATCTCTTCTACCGTTCTTGTTACGCGTGGCTTGCGTACCTGAGTATGTGAGGCACAATTCCATCCCTTTTCGGAACAGTTCAATCATAGGTCAACTTAATGTCACATAATCAAAGGTCTTTGACTGTGAGCATTTGCTCAAATTGGTTTCTTCTGAGTCTCTTTGATTTTGCGTCAGGAGTTGTTAGAAACTTCATTTTGCCCAACAATGTATAACAAGGTCTTTAATGAAAGGTATGTACCTACCCGT